ATTATTACAGGTGTGCCAATCGATCAGCCACTGATCACAATCGGCCAATTTCCGTGAAAAAGTGTATGATCGGTGATCGTCGATCGCTGTCTCGCGTTGCCGATCACCTGTACTTCAGTTCCCAGCCTGCGTTTGCAGCTCATCTCCTCTTTTCTTCACACTACACAAGCGATGCCGAGTGGAACTATAACGCTCAGAGTGGATGGGGAAGTTTGTGTGTTGCGACGGACATCGGGGGTGAAGCACATCAAATGTATCAACACAACGAATCTAATGTGACATTTAAAAAACAAACACTTGATGGAGTTTGGCTACATCGAGGCGCACAGCTACCAACACTCACCCGGAAAAGCATGGGAGATGGTCAGAAAGTTAAACAAACAGCCCAAGAAATAATAAGTCTTCGAGCTAGCACTGGAAGATGCTGGTTTTGCTCTCGTTGTTGAACCGCCGCTACGCGCTACTGGTAGTAATATTTCACAGACGTAGCGCCGCTCAACCTCCACCCAGCAGTGACCTCTCACACCGAACGTCTGCTTAAAGCTGCAGCATGTAACTAAAACAAACAAAAAAGATTTTTCATACATATTACAACTTTTGCTATGTTCTAACAGAAGACAGATAAAAAACATGAAATCAATCTTCTCTGTCTCCTCCCTGTGTTCTGCAGAGTTACTGAGTTCGGTCAGAAACATCCAATCAGAACCACCACAAAACAATTAGCCATGCTCTCAGGAAGTTTTGATTTAGTAATTCAGGATTGCTTCTTTTATATAGGTGTGCGAGTGTGTGTGTGCGCGCGCGCGCCAGGAATTCCAGAAATTTGAATACTGTGAAGAAATCAAACCAAGAATGTTGACATTTGAGTGTGTCACACTAAACATCTACTAAACTCAGAGCACCACTAGGTGTCATTAAATTGCTTCATTTTGGTTCAATTGTCTCAGTGCGTTTCAATATGGGGAAAACTGCAGACCTAACAACTGGTCGGTAGACCATCATTGTTACTCTCCATAGGATGGGTAAGCCACTAAAGGTTATCGCTAAGGAGGTTGGCTGTTCACAGGGTGCTGTGTCCAAGCATATCAATGGAAAGTCTAGTGGAAGGGCTGCACTACTGGCCAGTGGTCCAATGTCCTCTTTTCCTGTGAAAACAAAGTGTGCATTTCATTTGGTAGTCAAGGTCCAAGGGTTTGGAGGATGACGGGTGAAGAACTGAACCCTGCTTGAAATATCCAGTCAGTCATGATTTGGGGCACAATGTCTGCTGCAGGCATTGGTAAACTCTGCTTTCTGAAATCCAAGGTCACCACTACATGATTCCTTCTGCTGAGGATCTGTATGGAACTTTAGATTTCATTTTCCGTTAGGACTTGCCCCCAAAGTCTGGTTTGATCTTCAGTGCTTGACTGGCCAGCCAACTTGCTGGACCTACACACCATTGAGAATCTATGGGGTATTCTCAAGAGGAAAATGAGGGGCACCAGATCCAACAACAAGGAAGAGCTGACAGCAAACATCAAGGAAATCTCTGCTTTCATGATTCCCAGGCAGTGCCACAGGCTGACTGCATTGAGGCAGTTTACAACAAATATTGTCATATTCCAGAGACATGGCCAAGGAAAGGAAGGCTGAAATTCCTTACCTTGACCAGCACAGAACAATACAAATAAGTTGAAACGTCAAGACTGTGCCAACCAAGACATCTGAAGACAGATTTTTCAAAGCTTTATGGACAGATGAGATGAGAGTGACTCTTGATTGACCAAATGGATGGACCCGTGGCTCGATCAGTAATGGGCACAGAGCTCCACTTCACATCAGACGCCAGCAAGGTGAAGGTGGGGTACTGGTATGGGATGGTATTATTAAAGATGAGCCGGTTGGACCTTTTCAGGTTGAAGATGGATTCAAAATCAACTCCCAAACCTGCTGCTATTTATTAGAAGACACTTTCTTCAAGCAGTGATACAAGAAAAAGCCTGCGTCTTTCAAGAAGATCATGATTTTTATGCAGGACAATGCTCCATCACATGCATCACAGTACTCCACTATGTGTCTGGCCAGTAAAGGTCTTAAAGGTGAAGGAACAACAAAGTGGCCCCCTTCCTCACCAGACCTAAGACCTAAAGTAAAGCACGGCAACTTCCATCCATCCATCCATTTTCTGAACACCCTTGTCCCTCAGTGGGGTCGGGAGGGGTGCTGGTGCCTATCTCCAGCTAACGTTCCGGGCGAGAGGCGGGGTACATCCTGGACAGGTCGCACGGCAACTTAGGAGGGGGAAATAAAAACATCTTATTTTAATAGGCCTTTATTTTGAAATTAAACATCAGATCGGGTTGACATTTGGTGGTTGTGTTCTAGAGCTGTCCCTCTGTCACTCAGAAGTGAGAGAAGTCACTGGAACCTTTAGAGTTTTTCATCAATGTATATGTTAACTTTGGTAAAACTAAAATTCTAAATGTGTTATTTTACAAGGCTTTTATTTTGAAATTAAACATCAGATCACATTGACATTTGCTGGTTTTGTTCTAGAGGTGTCCCTCTGCCACCCAGAAGTGAGAGACGTTGCTGGAAGCAGAGAATTTTTCAGCATTGCTTAATGTCCCCAATTATTTCCAATACATTCTTTCTTTTTGTGACTGCATACATACAAAGTCTAAACTTGAAGCTGCTGGAAATCTACTTGCAGTAGATCAAACATGAAGCGGATGTGAGCCTTTACTCTGACAGGAGCTGGTAAATTAGGGAGCCGTAACGTCTTATGCTGTGGTGCACGTAAAAATTGAATGCGGGGTGGCTTTACTGTCATTTTCAAAGAGGCGGCTAGCTTTACCCCTCCACACAGCCAGAGCTAATGCGGAGGGGTTTAAACTCCTATCTTGATCAAAAACTCTGGAAGGAAACATAATTCCTCACAGGGGTTTGATGTAAATATCCATACAGGTCAGCCTGTGTCCAATTTGAATGAAAGGAGGCGCGCACGATCCGCACTGAGATAAACTTAAGACATCCAGCTGCTGCAGCGCATGATGCAACACCGCAGAGGCACCAGCAGTGTGACTGGTCCAGCTTTAAATGCATAAACTATAAACCTATCTTCTATAAACATATCTTTTATAATTTAGGAATAAATCTGATCCGCCAGTGAAACGCTCAGAGCAATAGAGACCCTCGCAATCTGACTTTAAAAAAAAATAACAATGTGTTTTTTTATTATTATTATTATTTTACTAAAAACATAAACAAGAAAGGCGGGTAAGGGTTAGGGGTAATCCTAACCCTGGCGGCGGGGCTAGTAAAGCACGGCGGGCTGCCAGGCCTATAATACATTGGGGGACACCCTGGGAGTGCCAACAGCTCCTGTCTGGTCAGGAAGGCCCACCAGCATCTCTACTTCCTCAGGAAACTACAGACAGCTGGACTTGTGAACTCAGTTCTGAGGAGCTTCTATCGCTGTGTGGTGGAGAGCGTCCTCTGGACCTGCATCACCGCATAGCACGGCAGCTGAGAGGACAGTTCTGCAGAGCATGGTTAAGACTGCACAGAGGACTGTAAGGAGTCCTCTTCACATCAAGAAGGACTCCACCCATCCTGCACACAGTCTGTTCCAGCCGCTCCCCTCAGGCAGGAGACTGAGGAGCATCCAGGGCAAGTCCGCTCAGCTGAGAAACAGATTCTTCCCTTCAGCCATCAGGTGCAGCTTGAGTACAGCAGTCTAATTCAACTTCATCTCATAAATTATTTACACACACACACACTTTTTAATGTGTATATCTATATATCACATGAATTACTTTATGATTTATTTTTTGTTAGTACATTAAATTTCTTTATCTAGAACCTGAGTTAGAATTTTGTACCACAAACGAGCAAAGGTGATATGGCAATAAAAAAATTCTTGCATCCTTGAATCAAGAAACTGACAGACTCTATAAATGGAAGGTCTATAACTGTTATTGAAAAGAAGGGTGACTATATTGGTCACTGATTTATTTTTTTAAATGTCAGAAATGTTTATTATTCTCACTTTAACAGATGACAATAAACAAGTGAGATGGGAAAATGTTCAGTTTGAATTCAGTTGCATAATAATGCTGCACACTAATAGCTTTAGTGTGCACACATAGATATTGTCCTAAGAAAACCAAAATCTCACTTTTACTTTCTTAAATATTGAGGTTTGAAAGGTTATTAACATTTTGGATTGACAGATAGCGCTGTAGATATTCAACAATAAAATTAATCATCAAAAGTACAACTTGCGTAATAATTGTGCAGTACAACAGTATATATACTTTTTTTTTTAGTGGCTCAGTTGTCTTGAGTAAATTCCAACTCAAAGCAGGACAACTAATGTTCACCGTCATCATGAACACCAGCAAATAAGAGTAAAAGGTTCCAGCCAGGCATACAGCAGCACAGATGAGTACAGCACATCATCTCTTCAATTACCCGCGTCAGCATGTGGAAGCAGCAGTGTGAACCGTCCTGCAGACAGACGCCCCGCTCTGCACAACTTTACCATCTTCCAGAAACCCTCAACTGCCAGCCAAACCAACCTTCCCTCTCCACCTTTAATGACTATAGACTGGTTTGTTTTCCTCCAGTCTGCCATCCGTTTCTGCATGCACTATGAATCTCCCCTCTCACTATAGCCTGTCGCTACTGGGGTTGTCCTCATTTTTCACAAAGAAATGCTTAAAGAAACGTATTGACCCTGCTCACGGTAACCAGCATGTGGGTAAAAGATAAACAAGTGTATCTGAACACAGCAGATAGAATGGATGTTATTTCTGAGTTTAGGTTTCTTGCAAAGCCCAGCGCACTGTCGCTGTCATTAAATAATAATAATAAAAAAAAGCAGTCAACTCCAACTTTCTGTCACTTCTTTAACGTTGGTGGAGGCGCACTATGACACGCATTCCTGTCAGCACTGACTGAACTTCTTCACGGGTTTTCAGAAGGAAAATACTTCGCTACTTTTTTCTCTGCTCCGTAACGGAGGACTGATTAACAGAAACTTTTTTTCCCCAACTCACCCCCACCTCTCCTCATTTAAATAACCCCGATATTTGAAGGCATCAGCGGAGTGCCCGTTTGTTTCATTTACACCAAACTTACCCTGGGAGCTTCCACATCCTTTCTGTGGACTTTTTCTTGACTTTCAACTATTTTCCGAATTTTTTATAATTTTTTTCTCATATTTTTTGCCAGACGCGGCGGGCCTGAAAATTGTTTGCTCTCTCCTCTTTCGGGCAGCCATTGTGTATGCGCTGCGATGCAACCGCACTATACAGTGGCCACGCCCACCCCGGTGCCCTGCTTCATGTGATTTGTTGACGGCGCTGCCATTTTCACGTCCATCTCTCGTACAGGCCTTTCAATAAACGGCTCTTTTTTTTTGGACTTGCTAGTCATCCTGTCAATCGTTATTAGTGCTTTGCTCTGTTTCACAACGATAGGAGGAAGAACGGACCGCAGAAGGAATCCTATTGGACTGCCGGGCTGTCATGCGACGGGGTTAGCGCTTTCCGGCACTTTCATTGGTTTGATGTTACATTCAGGTGACGACGACTTTGGCGGAGTTTCCTGATACGCTGTAGCAGGCGTCACAGTGCATTTGGAAGCACGAGTTTGCTAGTTATTTGTAGCTTTCTAGAGCAGGACATCATATGATTTAATTTGGAGAGGATTTAGCAGATAGTACGTGGTACAGCAGTGTGATACCAGCTGAGTCAGTCACTCCGGTTTGTTTCATAACTGAGCCATGACCTTCAGCCGTGTGGGTCCACAGCGGTTCCTATAGTCTTCCCAGCGTCGTATTGTAGGTGTCCTTGGTAAAGGTAGGTGGGTTTTCTCCATGACATCACCTGAACAGGTAGAAGAGCTCTTAGCCAGCCGGTGTTGATGGCCAAATGAAGCCTCATGGACCAATTACACTTTCAGACCCATTGCTTTTGTCGAAAGGTTCATTAATCAGTTCTTCATTCATTACTCTCTAGTGACATGTGATATTGTGACGGCGTTGTCACTCAAACTACTTCGGTGTAAGTGTTCTGCCACTCCTCCCCTCAGGTCCAAACATTCACACTTTCCGTTAAATGGCACATATTTATCAGGTCATAAACATATCATCCTCTGAATTTATTTATTTATTTTGCCACCTTAAGCTTGCGCGCTTTTAAAGGTGAAGTACTATTCAATTTCCAAGAACATGCCATAATATATATATATATATATATATATATATATATATATATATATATATATGTATGTATATGACCTAAAAGAAATTTGACTTAATTTAACTACTAAATAAATATTTTAGTAATTGAGTATTCTAGGGGGCTCTTACGATTAATCGAGTAATCAGATAGAACATAAATATTGGTAAAGCTAACAGCAGTATTACTATCAGATCAACATCAGTCCAATTTTTCCATATTTGAGCATCCCTAACAATAACTTTTCTGTAGTTTAGATAATTAACCTGCAACAACAGCTCACTTTCCAAGTTAACATGCAGAAAAGTTATACAAAAATCTGAAATTATATTCAACTTGATAATAAAGAGCCAGGCTCTTATTCATAAAAAATGTCTATACTCCAGTTTTAGTTTATGTATTCATCTTCAGTCAATTTAATAGATTAACTCTCTCCTTTCCCAGCCATTATAGCTTCTGTGTTCATGTTAGCGATGGGATTTGACAACTTCGTTTGTCACACACAGAGGCACATCTACCAGCTCAGGGTTTCCCCCAGTGCCTGGCGGCCCACCATGCTTTACTAGCCCCGCCGCCAAGCTAAGCGTTGCTTGTTTACGTTTCAAGGAAAATAATAATAATAATAATAATA